CTGCCAGGGCAGGGGGGCAGACTTGATGATCTTCTCAGGTCCCTTCCGACCTGACCAACTATGAAACTATGAACAAACTGTTACACCAAAAATCAGTAAACGCTTGCCTTGCTGGGTTGTTTTTGCTTAGATCTGAAATTGTTTTGCAAGGACAAAGCAGTAATTCCCCATTACTGGCATAACCACACCTGCAGGCAGATACATTCTAGAGAGGTTGTTAGCTGTGATAATGTGAAGTTAAGGGGAAGGCAGGGTATATTTGCACCTTATAGGATTGACCGAAGTAGACAGATAGCATAAGCTGAACCTCACTTGAGTTTCAGCTCACAGATACTCGTGCTACCCATCTACTATCAAACTACCTACTTTGGTTAGTCTGCAAGGTACAAATATATTCTAAGTTACACAAAGAACAGATGACAAGCTACATTCATGATGCCTTCTAGTTCTTCACGCTTTGTGCTTTATGGTCCACTCCAGGCAAAGCAGTGCAGCACGAGGCTGTAGCTCACTGTTCCTTGCTCTTGTAAAGATGTCATGTGATGGGGTGACCGAGCGTAAGCTTGCCCACTGCAATGAGATCTCCAACGGACTGTGGCTAGACACTTGCAGTGCCTTCAGCTCTCTTCTTGGAACTGTCTCAGCACCCATCGCTGTCTGACTGCAGGTCCAGCAGTTGATTGTGCTTCATGGGACAACAAAGCCCTGAAAAATCCCCACCCAATTTGAAAGCGTGTGGGTCAGCTCATTTCCTAATTTTCAAGAAACATGTTTTAGGAAGCAATCAGGTGTGTAAGCCTCACTCCCCCAGCATCTTCCTACCCAGGACCCCTTGGAGAACCAGCAGTGGCCATTATCAGGCAGCTCTCAGACCAGAATGTAGACTCCATCCAGCAGTGATGAAAGGCTTCCAGGACAGCACACTGCACTGGCCCTAACTGCAGTTTGGTTAACCAGGAGAGCGGACACAACTGACTCACTACACTCAAACAACAAAAAGTCATTAAGCCACTTAACACCACTGTGCTCCAGGACAGGACAAAACCTGAGGAGGGCAGGAGCATCTCGGCAGCTGCGCACATCCCACATCTTAGGATGCTGCCAATGAAAGCAAGTGACGCTGCAAACTCTCCAGCCATTTGGGCTGAGATCACAGACACGATGCAGCCTGCAGCTGGCCACAAAACACATGGAACCATTTATTGCCTGTGTGGGGGTGCCTAGGAGCAAGATTCCAACAGAAAAACCAATAAATACAATCAGGAACCAAGCACTGGCAGGGAGGCAGGCCAATGAAAGAGCCTACAGGGACCAGTGCTGTACAGAAAATAGAGAGCCAAGGCTAACATTACGTTGCTGCTGAATCGGGGATTTGCTGAGCTGGGCTGCTGCCTGCAACCCACCCCTTAACCAGGTGGTAACTGGCTTGTTAATTAGAGCCAGGGAATCATTCTCTTTCAAATCTTGCATGTTTTGGAAGCCCCATATCATGACCCTGCCAAGGAGATGTGTTCTCAGCGGTTGTGGGGCCTGCCTCGCCCTCTGCCCCGCGTGGCAGGGGAGGCGTCTACTGTGGACCAGGGGTTCTTGATGGTCTCGTCGACAGACACGATGAGGCAGGCAGCGGTCAAGGCACTGATGCGCACGACGGCTGGATCCCACATGAAGGCTTCGAAGTTGTCGGCGATGTCCTCATTGTTGACATCCACACCATACCACATGCCTCCCTGGGAATAAGAGCGGGAAGTGTCAGTGACAGAGAAGGGGATGACATACGCAAGGCCAGGGAGGATGGCGATGGCCCCCAGGTACCAGTGCACAGACAGGAAGGTACAGACCCTGCCAGGAACCAGGGAGAGGTCCGAGTAAATCCAACACCACCCCACATTACAGACAGCTTAATAAAATAGCTCAGCTCCAGCTCACAGACAAGGGAGCTAAACATCCCATTCAAATACCCACTCCTGCTGCCCACAGGCCTCCCATTCCTATGCTCACTGCACCTCTTCCCCAAAGAGGTGAAAACTTAATCTAACATGGAAGAGAAGCTCTTCCCTCACCGAGACCTTCTGGCTAATGTTACTCAGATGCAGCCGTTTCTGGGGTGGAATAGGGTAAATATCACCCCAATGCTACACAGCAGCTTTGACATGACGACGTCTGGGAAACATGACTTACAAGAAAAGGCCCAAAGAACCGGGATAATTTAGTTTGGAGAAGAGAAGACTGATGGGATTTGATAACAGCCTGCAAATACCTGAAGGGTGTTTAGAGTGAGGTTGGCGAGAGATGATTTTCTGGGGCCACAGGAGACAGGGCAAGGAGCAATGATCTTAAAATTGCAACAAGGGCATCTTAAATTTGGGATGAGGAAGAACTTTCTCCCTCTGAGGGTGCGTCAGCGTTGGAACAGGACACTTGGAAAGGCTGTTGAACATCCGGCTTTGCAAACTGTTGTGAGCTGGCTGGACAGACCCTTGGCCAGGATGGTTTAGTCAAGGCTGATCCCGCCTTGAGTAGGAGGCTGAACTAGATGTGACCACCTAAGCGCCCTGCCAGCCCAACTTTCTTGTTTTCATGACAGGAACTGACCAACAAAGCAGCCAAATGAAAAAAGTCATGGCAACTCTGAGGGGCAACATCTAACTGGCTGAACTGGAATCTAGCCAGGACTTCACTCAAAACAAAAGGTGGCAGGATCTTAAATGATCACAAGCCACCAGGAACTGGGGGTTTCCAGCTGACAAAGATGTGGGGGCTCTATTAGCTTTTATACTCCACTCATGCTAAGCACCAATATCTCCAAATCACGTTAAGTGCCTGACAAATCAAGCACTTTAAAGGAGCAAATCAAACTCTCAGCAAGTTTGCTCAGCAGCTTTAGAAGAGTGACCCTATGGCAGTAATCAAAGAGAGAAGAGGGAGGGGAATGACCTACCTGCGCATGCTTGGCGCTCAGCTTGTCGAGGATGTTGGTGGCATCAAAGCCGGCATTGTCGCAGAGCTGCCAGGGAATGATCTCGAGGGCTTTTGCATATGTGCCAATCAGCAGCTGCTGCTTGCCGGGAATGGTTCTGGAGCAGTCCCGCAGGTACTTAGAAAGCTCCATCTCGATGGCCCCTCCACCAGCCACTACAGAGTCATTCTGCAACAGAGCAGGAGCAAAGGGACTGGGTCACTGCACAGACCTTCTTCTGAGGACAGGCGGCATCTTACATCTGAGTTAATAAAAAGCCAAAAGCTCTCATCTGCCTCAGAGGAGCTACACCTTCACCATGCCTCTCTATTCACAGTTTTCGTGAGAGTCAGAAAAATCTAGGTGCGTCTTAAATTCCACGATGACTTATGTTTGAAGAAATATGGTAGCCAGCAAATGGAGAAGACCAGGACACCAAAGCATCGCCTATTAGCTTGATGGTACCTCAGTGCTGGGGTGTCCACCTTACACAGGCACGGGTACCAGCTCAGCTTTGCTGGTAATTTCATTAAGCCAGTGCATAATAGGCCTGGAGACTCGAGTACCCTCTGATAAGGGCTCCTCCAGCTGAGGATGAAGTATGCTGGAAAGGAGCCTATGCCACCCCGTGACACCTGGAAGGGGATGTGGGTGACCAGCCAAAACGCAGCCTGCCTGGCAGGGAGTTGTTTCCTCACTCAGAGAGCAGCTCCAAAGAGCCACTGCTTGGGTGCCAATTTCCACTGCCATTTGCTTCAGGAACAGATTGCCCATTTCTTCTAGGAGCAAATGGTTCCTGCTGTGCCTGAGGCCGTGACCTATTGCAGAGCTCCTTGCAGCATACATGGCAGTTAGCATGTTTTGTGTGACCCAGAAATGCCCCCGAGGTGCTGGACATGCCCCTCCCACATGACAAGTAACACAGAAGATAACATGGACGTTTGCACTTCTGGCTCTCCCAGGACCCAGAGCTGTAGATCCTATTAAGCTGGTTAAATGCTACATTTGCCATGAGGAGGAATTTGAAGTGAAAGGGACCTCCACCTTCCAGAAGTTCACAGAATCCCAGGGCTGGAAGGGACCTTGAGAATTAAGCCCCCTTCACATGTTCAGGGATTGTGTGGCCTGCACCACTCCAAAAGCCTGTCCAGGTGCATCTGCTTGAAAAACTCCAATGAATGAGATTCAAAGGTTTCCCTGGGCAGCTCGTGCTGCCAGCTTACAGTCAGGAAGTTCCACTTGATATACAGTCAAGGGGAAAAAAAAAAAAGGCACAACGATAGGTAATAGCAAAGCTGCCCAGTGCCTCAAAGGGACCCTGTTAAGTCACCAAAGGATGACCCTAATGGAATGGAAGAGCCACACAGCACCCCGACAGACTGCACCCTCCTCTCCTGCTGTCAGGATGACCAGCGGGTTGAATGGACACATGCTCAGCAAGGTCCGAGACAGCAAGTCCACCCAATAGCCACGCTGGATGGCAGGCTGAAGGGCTGAATAGCAGTTAACTGTAAAGGGGCTGTGTTATTTTAGTTAATTTGAGTGCTGCCCTTTTAGTGGCCTTCCCTTCACTGTGCTCCGAGACCTACAGTGAGGCCTCATCTAGTGACAAGATCATGCCCCGCTCCCTTCAATCAAGAGCTCAGACACTTGACAAATATGAAGGGTTGGGACAGCCTTACCCTGATGGCCCTCCTGACAATCATGATGGCATCATGCAGGGACCGCTCCGTCTCCTCCATGAACTGCTCGGCACCTCCACGCAAGAGTATGGTGCATGTCTTGGCCTTGGGGCAGCTTCTGAAGCAGTTGTACCTGCCAAGGGCGGAGCACAGGGTTAGAGCAGCCAGGGGACATCCACCCAGACAGCTT